TAAGACGATAGTAGTTAGAAGCTCTTTCTACTTAGTATCTTATATTATAACTTCTATCTCGATAATATTATTCCTTACTAAGAAGCTTATTATAATATAGATACCTACGCTTTATTTAGTAGTATTTACTACTTCTTCTACTATTTTCTTTATATCTACTTTTAGTTATAGATACTAACGTACTATTATATATAGTATAATACTTTCTATATCTCTTTTCGATTCCTTATTAGTAGTTAATATCTATTATAGTAGAGAGTAGAACCTCTAAGTCGGTATAACTCTAAACTTCGATAGTAGATTTATTATAAGTAGTAAAAGGATATCGACCTATATACTTATAGCTTTAGCTATATATTACTACTAGACTATATATATACTTATCTCTACTTTAGCTACTTCTTTTACTACTATATAGAAGTAGCTTATAACTACTTATACTCTAATTCTTTATACTCGATTTACTATAGCTATAAGTCGCTCTTTATACTTATATATCTATACTAGTAATATATAGTCGACTACTAGCGCTACTATTATCTTAAATAGCTTATAGATAGTAGATACTAATAGCTCTTATAGTCGTTTTAGTACTATTATAGTAGTAAAACCTATAGTAGCTACTCGTATAATATACTATTAAAATCGAAGTTCCGAGTCTATAACTACTTCTAGAATCTTTATACTAGTTACTAGCTCCTTCTATTATCCTTTAACTAGAACTAGTCGGGCGCTACTTTAGTATAATATTTATAACGTATAGTCGTTTATAAAGTCTATAAACCTATCTACTTTCTCTTATCTAGTAGATAAGACGTCGTCTCTATTCTATAGCTAGTTATATTAGTTAAAGTCGCTAGTAAGAAGTATATCTATTCTTTCTTTTATTACTCGTCTCCTTATAGTATTTACGCTTTACTATAGTAGCTATATCGTCTCTACGAGTACTTCCGAGTTAGCTAGTACTACGTAGACTAATACGATAAATACCGATCGATCGGATATATATAATAGCGCTATAGTAATATCGGAAGAGGGTACCGGGACTAGCTTACTCTCTATTCCCTTCCGAATCTAGAGTATACTCCTAATTATCCGTCTGCCTTCGCGCGTCTCCGTAGGTATTATCTTAGTCTAATATAGGTGGCCTAGCGGCACCGTAGACACCTTACCCTCTCTTATAAACGAGCAAGGTTCTGATAGCGCGACAATTCCGAAGTCCTAGAGGCCTATGTTATTCATAACCTAGGCTGCAGGAGAAGCAGCTCACGGTTCGAGCAGTTCCCTAGCGTAAAAGACGAACAACAAAGGTAGAGGAGCTTTTCACCCGGGCCCCGGCTACGGCTTTTCTCTTCAGCGACTAAGTAGCAACTCCCGTATGGACCCGCAAGGGAACTATATCGGTGTAAGAAATATGAATGAATGAATTCGGTCTGCATCATTGCATGCTATAGCGAGTGTGTTCCGCCTCACGCACTAAATCACAGCTCGCACGCGAGCATCGCACGTAGAATCCACCGAGCATTCGTGTCCAAAGCACGAGAGAAAAACCATACATCGTAGCTTATCAAAAGCTCCACATCGACCCCCCAGGCATATCCTTCGCAGTCTGAAATTGCTAATGTTTGGCAACAGGTGTGGTGGCGCGAGCAGCAATGTTATCGTAGCTACAGTCGTGCTACGAGCTCCCATGTGGAGGCCAGAGCTTCTATGCAGTACCAGCAGCCTGGCCACCGGCGGCATCTTTGTAATTGTTGTAGTACGCATATGGCACGCCAATGTACTGCCGCTTCTCGAGAGCCTCGATCGGTCCGGCCTCCAGATCCCGCTTCTCGTTACCGGTGGCATCTTTGTAATTGTTGTAGTACGCATATGGC